CTGTATATTCATTTTTCAATTTTAAAATGAATGTTGGCCATGGATTTGTCATGAATGGAATTCTATAAACTTCTTTTGCTTCCATGTAAGAAGGTAATTGAACTATATATTTTTCTTTATAAGGTTTTAGTCCTCTTTCGTCCTTTGTTTGTTTAAACTCCTCGATCAACATTTTAAATGTTCTCATATCTTCTAAGGATTTCTTACGAAGATATAATTCATCAAGCCTTTCACGTTTTTGGACATTTGTTAAAATTTGGGCAACCATAGATTTTTTCTTTTGAATCCAGTTAGCACGATGTTTAGGAGGTGTTGATATGAATTCACGACGCGCACTTTCTAGATGCGAATTTAAATAAGCCATGATTTTTGCACCTGTAGAAGAATTAAGAACAGGAACATTTTCATAAGGTACAACTGTCGTGATGTCGATTGGAGATTTTGCCCATTGAGGAAGATTATCAGGACTGCTTAAATACGCATAAACACAATAATTAAGATAATATATAGATAATTAAAATCGTTTAATCATTGTTAAATAAAAAAAAAAAAAAAAACAATGAAATGAAAATATTAATATATTTACGTGGTAATTCTTTTCCTGAGACAAGAACAGCAACAGCGTACACGAAAAGCCCAATATACTTTAGGGGTTTCCGTCTTTGCGCCACAAAATTGGCACCCACGTTCCAGCATAGCTAATTTAATATAGGTAATCTCATCTATGCCAACAGGTGGTGGTCTTGGTAAATAAGTTATAAATTTTGTTCGAGGAGTTCTCCAAATATCTGTGGTAATATGTGATGAACTTGAACGTAACCAATTTCTAAATTGCTTACATACACCAATAAGCGCGAAGAGAGAATTTGGTGGTAAATGATAGCATATTTCTATAAAAATATCAAGAGGTATATCACCGAGAGATGCTGGTGCACGCTCTATAAGTATGGGATTATCGGAAACCTTTTTAGTTGGAGATTCAACATCTTCAGGAACAACGGTTATATATAGAGAATTATCCAAAAGGCATCGTTCACCTTTATTTTCAATTTTTTCAAGAATTTCATTTTCTTGTGACACAACACTTGAAACTGATTGTGTCATTTGCAAAGTTTCTTCTATTTGCTGTATATCGTGTGAAATACTTTCGGGAGATTTGATATCGCGAGATTTTTCTGGAGATAGTTCCAAGGATTCAACTGAAGAACTTACAACTTCATCATATCCATCTTGCTGTTCCACCGCCGGATAAAAGTCGGAACATGTATCGATTTCGTTATCCATGTTTTGTGATTCAATGCATTGTTTTGACGACGTTGAAGAACGTAAAGTTTCTTGAGGATAATTATTTTTGGCGGACTCTGATTCATCATCATAGAAAATTTCTTGACATGAATCATTCTGACTAATCGTCGATGATTCAATTTCTTTTATAGAATTTATCACAGAAGATTCGTTTAAAACATCCATAGATTCAAATTTTTGTATATGATCAATGAATATGCATTGTTGAGAACATTGTTCACTATCGGTTAAAGATATTGTAATCTTTTCATCCATTGAGGATGGTTCAACTTCATACTGAGTGTGCGCATTAGATGACCAAGATCGAGTCCACGACGTAACATTATCTGATATGTATTGATCTATTGAATATAATTGTGAATCACCAGGACTTATAGTAGGAAATAGAGAGTTAGATACAAATTTTTTACGATTTATATCTGGATTCGTTTCCCAATTAGATAAGATCAAGTGAAGTTCAAAAAACGGAAATGCTAAATGAAAAACTATGGAGGCAGATTGCTTTGTCACAAAAGAATGTCGAAAAATCGTGACGGTAGTCATTTCCATGATTCACGAAATATGACTCAAAAATAAATAAATAAAAAAATAAAAAATAGTCGATGGCGCAGCAAACCTAAGTTTTTTTAATCAGATATGAAC